GTTCACAGAAATACCCTCCCCGTTACCCGCCTCTGCTACAACCATCCTCTCCTACCCAAATGGCCCCTTCCCTTTCCCCCTTCTCCCCTCTCAGCAGGTTAAATCAGACCCTCTGAATCGACCTTATAAACAGATGAAGGAGAAAATGGGACAAGAACAAGGAAATCTCCCGTTCCTTTCACTCTCTCCACCCAAGCCCTTCTGCCCTCCCAGGACTTTTCCCACAGGGAAGGCTCGCGCCCATGTCCAACCTGTGCCTCACCTGGAGGAAGGTAACTACCCCAAAGGGTGTCTGCACAGGTTGCATCTGCGGGTCCTCTGTCAGCAGCATGTGCTGAATTCTTGACTCACTGTTATCCAAAGGGCTGTGCCAAGACACGTGATCCCCACTGCAGAAGGTGTTCTCTGTGGAGAGACAGGAGAATCCTCGGTGTTTGAGGCCCTGCATCCAGGCCCAGCACTCAGCCTGCGATCTGAGAAGCCCAGGCTGGAAGGCCGCCCCAGGCTTCCAAGGTAGTCCCTGTGAAGGAGGGGAAGCACCCACACAGGTGAGGGCAGAGTCTGAATGTTTCCCCCCAGCCAAATGCACTCCTACTGGCCAGTTCAGCCAGCCTTCCACAGAAAGGACAGGCTGCTAGTGTGCATGCTCACTTGGCCTGCAAGTCCAAAGCCAGAATTCTGGCATCTGCTCCACTTCCCCGGCACCTTCACTTCTTGGGGTGGGGTCGGGGACAGTCATGATTGGACCTACCAAGAAAGAATAAAGTGTTTTACTGTGGGGCCAGCTAAATAGGGAGACTGGAGGGCAGTGAAAGCCTTTCACCTTGGACAAACAGAACAGGGTTTATGTGCTGCTGAAACTGCTCAAAAGAGAACACCTCACCTTGCAGGGCCTTTGAGATCTGTCAGCAGTTTTCCCCAGGAAGACATATTTAGGGAACAGTTCCTCAGGGAGATGCACTGGAGACGAACAAAAGTCTGTATTGTGCCCCACACACTGTGGCAGAGACATACAGACTTGGGGGCCGGGGGCTGTTTCCATGAAGACATAGATATTGTGCCCAGGCTGCCTAACAGAAACATGTGCAAACACAGCCACCTCATAGCCTTACCACTGAACTTCACACAAATCCATTACTCAGAAAAGTTTAAGGCAGCATAACCACAAGGGAAAAACCACCTACGCGGTATGAAGTCTCCACTACCCCTGACTTTTATCTTGGGTGCCCTTCAAAGGAACTCTGCATTTACCAGCCTGTATGCATCTATAGGTTCTCTCTATCTTGTTTCTTCTAAGACATATGCAGCACCATTTTGTACATTTCATATATCTTGGAATCATTTCACATCAGCACAGAGAAAGCTACCTTATTCTTTAAACGGCTGTATGGCAGTTCACCATGGTCTATCACATATAATCTAGAGGGTCTCAACAGCTGAGGTCCTCTCACTTTTTATTAATATTTGAAGCAAGGCAGAAAACACAGACAGACAGACAGACACACACCCACACACCCACACACACACACACACACACACACACCAGCCTGAAGGCCTGAGAGCACATCTGCTCTCATTTGTCTTGGTCTAAATACTCCCTCCTGTGTCAGGTGGAGTGTACACCACTTTTTCTAAGAGACAGGCTTGGGTTATTGGTCCTAACCTCAAAAGCATTCATTCAGGGGGGAGAAGAAAGACTTCTTCCTCTAAGAGACATGAAATAATAAAGGGGAGAGAGGGCCTGGCTCCAGGCAGAGCCAACTACAAACCCCTCTTTCTGGACTCACTCTTCCCAAATTTCCTCTCCTTTACAGAAGTGCATGTCTATAAGTATCTACAAGTTAGAAACAATGTCACAAGTAAACAGACTGAATTAGTAATTAAAAGCTTCCTCCACAATTAAAGGGTTCAGGTCCAGATGGCTTCACTGGTAAATTCTACCAAACATTCAGAGAAGAATTAATAGTAATTCTTCACAAACTATTTAAATTAAAAAAAAAGGAAGTAACACTTTACAATGAATTCTATGAGGCCAATAATACCCTGATATCAAAATCAGACAAAGGCACCACAAGCAAAGAAAGCCATAAATCAATAGCCCTGATGCATAGTCCTCAAGACTTGAGGCACAAAGTCCTCAAGAAAATACAGGCAAACTGGACACAGCAACATACGAAAGGGTTATATACAATGACCAAGTGAGATTTAACCCCAAAATATAAGGTTGGTGTAGAAGTAACATAAGAAAATAAATGTAATATTGATATAGTATATCAATAGACTAAAGGTTTAAAAAAACACATAATCATCTCAGTAGACACGGAAAAAGCATTCAGCAAAATCCAATACTCTTTCATGATAAAAACACTCAAACTAGGAATAGATAGGAACTTCCTCAATCTGTTAAAGGGCATCTACAAAAAAACCTACAGCTAACATCATACTTGATGGTGAAAGACTGAATTATTTCCCTCTAAGATCAGGAACAAGACAAAGATTCCCACTCTTACCACTTCTATTCAACACTGTACTTCATGAACCTTAGAAACATTACACTAGCTGAAAGAAGCCAGTCCCCAAAGGCCATATATGATGCCATTTACATGGAATCTCCAGAACAGGCACATCTACATAGACAGAGAGATTAGTGGTTGCTGGGGGGGGGGGGGGGGGATGGGGAATGATTGGTATGAGTTTACTTTTGGGGGTGATGAAAATGTTCTAGGGTTCATTGTGGTGATGGTTTCACAACAATGAATAACATGGTATGTGAATTATATCTCAATAAAGATGTTAAGAAGAAAGAAAGAAGGCAAAAGGAAAGAACCTGGGGGAGAGGCAAAGTGTGTGAAGCCAGGCCAAGGCCCTGGATTCCTTGTCACCACCTCCTCAGGGTAAGCAGCCCAGCCTGGGAGAGGCCTCACTCATAATGCCCACATATTATAGCTCTATATGACCCGAACGATCACAGTCCAACATTTTCATTTTCTACAAATGAAGAAAGGACCCTTGAGACTGCCCAAGGTCATGGGGCAAGTCAGTGACGATAGAGCACAGTGAAACATTTCCCAAACTTCTGAGTCAGTGGTTCTCAACCTGTGGGTCGCGACCCCTTTGGGGGTCGAACGACCCTTTCACAGGGGTCGCCTAAGACCATCGGAAAACACATATGTAATTACATATTGTTTTTGTGATTAACACTATGCTTTAATTATGTTCAATTTGTAACAATGAAAATACATCCTGCATAACAGATATTTACATGACGATTCATAACAGTAGCAAAATTATAATCATGAAGTAGCAATGAAAATAATTTTATGGGTGGGGGTCACCACAACATGAGGAACTGAATTAAAGGGTCGCAGCATTAGGAAGGTTGAGAACCACTGTTCTGAGTTATCTGTAACACTGTCAGGATTTTTAACATATATCTGAGTACCACCTGTACTATTACCTACCTGTCCCCCCACCCCCAACCCCGTAAAATTGACTCACTTTAAAAACCTAAACAAACTTACTTTAAATAGAAATCTCCTATCACAACACTAAATAGGGAAAATCAGTGTTGCTCACTGTAAAATAGATGACTTCAAAAAGATTAAATGAAAACAAAATATTTTAAATCTCTAACAGATACTGTTGCTTACCTAACCTTGTTAAAACTGAAATGATCAAGGGTTAAAGAGCTGTTAAGAATTAAAGAGTGAGTCATATCAAACTGACAAAAACAGCAGGACTGAGTCAGAGCTCTGAAGAGGAGAGAGAGTCCTCACTATTCATGTTACTGGATGCCGTGTCCAGTTACCATCTAAATCTCCTGCTGGCTTTGGCAAATCATGGCATCATGGTTAATTTTGCAGTTGGGAAAGCCCTATGCTATTTGCCTCTGCCCCTTACTAGTTGTGACCCTGGGCAACTTCTAAGTCTGTTCCCTCATCTGTTAGCAGGAAATAGTGTGCCCACTTTTAGTGCTCTCCACTGCTGCATGTATGACTCTACTCCTGTCCTGGAATACAGTGCAGCTACTCCCACCCAGGTCCCAGTTCCTTTACCAGGAAGCAGGACCAGCCACAGAGCCTGTAGGTAACAACAACTGCCAGTAGGTGGCACCATCACTCCTGATTTAAGAAAGCTGGGCCAAAAAAAAAGAAAGCTGGGCCAGTTCCCTCCAATGCTTCTGGTCTAGCTGACTTCTGGTCTGTAGAAATATACCCCAAACCTGAAAGGTTCTTAGACTGGAAATAGGGAAAGGACTGGGAAGGTTTGAAGCCATGACCTTTTATGAACCAGAATTGACATTTATAAATGTTGCCCTAACCAGTTTGGCTCAGTGGATAGAGCGTCCGTCTGCGGACTGAAGGGTCCCAGGTTTGATTCCAGTCGAGGGCATGTACCTTGGTTGCGGGCACATCCCCAGTACGGAGTGTGCAGGAGGCAGCTGATCGATGTTTCTCTCTCATCGATGTTTCTAATTTTCTACCCCTCTACCCGCCTCTCTGTAAAAAAAATCAATTAAGATATATATTTTTTAAAAATAAAAATAAATGTTGTCCAAACCTAAACTATTTAAATGAAGAATGACTAAAAGGTACACTTAATTTGGGAAGGAGTGCAAGTTAGGCAGCTGGGAGAGGAGACTGTAAAGCAGGAAAGGGAAACAGACCCAGTTGCTGTTCTAGGACCAACACACCTCCCTGGTGGGTGTGATCAGCTCTGGCAGAATGTACTAGTGAGTTACAGGAGGGCAGGTGAGGAGAACGCATAACCACACACAGAAAGGTTTACAGAGCAGGAGGGGGACAACCTTTCCTTCCCTAGCCCTGCCTGATGGGAGAACTAGCTGCATAGTAGCTCTGCTGTGGCCAAGAAACAGCCTTTCTTAACAATGAAAGAGCCTGGGTCACAGTTTTCAAGCTTGGGACAAAGCCACAAAGGGCTCATTCTTGAGTCTGCTCTGGTCTTTATTTCTGGATGCTCAGCCCCATTCTGTGTGGAGCCACGGTAGGTCTCAGCACTCAGGCCCCAGCGCTCACCCCAGGGAGCTCTCAGACCCCTTGAGAGGGTTTTCAAATGCTAATGAGGCCTCAGTCAGAGGCCCAGCTGTTCCGTCCAGTGGTTAGAGAGCTCCTCCCTCTCCCTTCCTCTCGGGCTGTCTGAAGTACCCTAACCAAGAAATTAGGATGCAAATCTCTGGGACCCCTACCCAAACCACGCAGCAGAGGAGCTCTCTGGGATCCGAAGGCAGGCCATTTCCCTCTTCCTCTGAGCTCTGGCTCCAAGTACCATGAGAAACCTCCCTCAACTGCTGCCTGTTTGGCAAATTCACCGGAGGGGGACTACCACCTTAGGGTGGCAAAAAGGGTCCAGAAACTTCCAGGTACAGTTCTGCCCTTGCTTCACTGACAGAAAAGTTTTGTTACTTTATGTTTCTATCCCCATTAACAAACAACTCCCTGGCAAGAACTCTTTAAAAAGTTGGTGACGGGGGTGTGGGTGTGCAATTCTAACTGGCCCCTCAAATTGACCCTACCCCAACTCCCAAACATCCAGCTTTAATCATGGTGGTTTGAAGCTGGACTGTGCCAGATATAATAAGTTAGCAAAATCTAGGAAAATGGATTGCAGAAGAAAACAGCTATTGTTTGCAAAATAATTAGTGCTGCCTTTGAAATACTGAGAAACAAATATATTCTCCAAGAGTTCTTAATTCATCCCAACCCTGGAGAATGACTGTCTCCTTTCTG